AACCACTGAGCTAAATCCCCAGCCCTTTTTTGTATTACTGTTACACTATAGGTCTCCTGTTTAATATGTGAAACTTTGAAGTGCATGGACATACATTATTTATCACTACTTGCTTTTTTTTGTAGGTTCTCTTTTGAATCTGGCCAAGCATGCGGCTTCTACAGTTCAGATTCTTGGAGCAGAAAAGGCACTTTTTAGAGCCCTCAAATCTAGGCGGGATACCCCTAAATACGGTCTCATTTATCATGCTTCCCTTGTAGGCCAGACAAGTCCCAAACACAAAGGAAAGGTGAGTCACACCGGTTTTCCGAAGTTGGCCCCCTTTACTTTTTTCCTACTCTTTGTTTTAGTGCACATGAAATCTCTTCTGTCATTTTTTTCTCTTTAAAGAGAATAGGATATTGTTTAGATAGGATTTTTGTACACCAAAAGAAAAGATTAGAAGAAATTGTTATTGTTCCTGTTAACAGCCATTTTCTTTTATTGTGTTAGTATTTTTCTAGGATCCAACTGTAGGTGATATGCTAAGAGATTCTGTTTACAGGAAACCAATCTAACACTTATGGACTATCAAAAATAATAGCATATACACTGCTCACAGTTTGTAAGAGCTTCACTGAATCCTTTAATAACTAGATAGAGGTGTCTGTTTTACAGGTGATGAAAACTCAGGCTTAGACAAATTACTTCCAGTCTTTAGTATGTACAATGTAATAGAAACTGATTTTTTTTTTTTTTTTTTTTTTTGGTACTGGGGATCGAACTCAGATCCTTGTGCTTGTGAGGCAGGCGGCAGAACCACTGAGCTAAATCCCCAGCCCTAGAAACTGAGATTTTATAAAATTCATAGTACAGTAATGAGAAAAGGGAGAAATACAGTGTTTAATAATGAAATGTCACTTAGTTTGAGAAAGAATATACTTGTTCTGGACAACCCACAGTCTAGAAATGTGTCACTGAGTAAAAGCTAAAGAAAGACATTAGAATAATAGTTTGAGCTAATTTTAGACATGAGCTATCTAAAGTGATAGATCTTTTCATCCACCAAATTTTGGTGATATAAAACCAATTATTACATGGTGACAATGATGAGAAAATACAGTAAGTTGGGTAGCTTGTAATGATTTTATAATTCCTCATTTTTAAAAAACCTAGAATCTGATAATGTGATTCACGACAGTTTTTTTTTCTTTTTCTTTTTTATTTATTTTTTGGAAACAGGGTCTCACTATGTATTTCAGGCTGGTCTTGAACTCATGGCAATCCCCCTGCCTCAACCTGAGTGTGGGGGCCACACAAGTGCACCACCATGCCTACTACAGTTTTTCATATGCATAAACTGTTGAGATTTTTACATTTTCATTTGAAATACACCTTGATTTCTTCTAACTTTGTGCCGTTAGATTTCTCGAATGCTGGCAGCCAAAACTGTTTTGGCTATTCGTTATGATGCTTTCGGGGAGGATTCCAGTTCTGCAATGGGAGTTGAAAACAGAGCCAAATTAGAGGCCAGATTGAGAAGCTTGGAAGATAGAGGGGTAAGAATCGTGTCCTGCCTTCTGCGAAAGTTAACAACTGAGTAGTCTAGAAGCTTGAACACTTCATCTGCCCACAGTGCTCTTTGGTACACATTTTAGTGCAAACTCAGGGGAACTGATGTATTAAACAGTGTTTGCTCTTAAGGTATGCCATTCCAATTAAAAGGAACAAAATAATGAGATCGCTGTTTGCTGGTCCACTGCTTAACTTGACAGTGTATTCTAAAAAGACTGATTTAGAATTTACTAATAGCTTTTATTTTTCTTAGATTAGAAAAATAAGTGGAACAGGAAAGGCATTAGCAAAAGCAGAAAAATATGAACACAAAAGGTGAGTACATTTAAGGAGGTTGGGTAAACATTTTGTTTATTTAAACGTTATTTATGCCGATTTTTTATTGTAACTTGTACACCTCAATAACCCTGTGATCTTTGTTTTTTTTTCCCCCTCTATGATCTTTGTTAATGGATAAAAACTAATTATATTATGTCATGTTGATATGGCAAACATGCGTCCCTTCACTTTTTATGTGTGTGGTGAGAATATGTAAAATCTGGTCTTAGCAATTTTCAGAATGCAATAGCTATTAACCACGTCACACCTGAGTTTTTTTCCATGCCATTTAATTTTCTATATCCACATCTCATTTAATCATCCACGTATACTGTATTTAACCTTGTCGTTTAAAGTTCCTCTGTGGTATGTCATTTATCACAAAGGTTTAGAGTTAACATACAAAGAAACTTTTTTTTGTCTAAAAGAAGACAAGTCTAAAAATGGCTAATAGGTGTAATGAAGTATTTAGAGCTCATTTTCAAATTAACAAAAGCCTTGTGTGTGGAGGGCGCTTTGGTTGTTATTTGAGGTGATGCTTGATACTGATGAGTCTGGTGAGGAAGGTAGAGTGGTAGAGCTTTTCTAGAAAACTGACAGTGATCCTTCAAGGTACTCCTTGCCATTAACTTCATAAATTCTACTGTTGAGATTCTGGTAGTCCTATAAGAATTGTAATAGTAACAAAAAAGAGCTTATGCTTCAAGTGGTCAGAGTACAGTACATAATAACATGAATTAAAAACATATGTATAGATACTGAAATAGACACATTCAAAAAATTATCTTCCATAAAGAAACTTCATACTGTACTCATGGGCGTTAGAACTTTCTATTTTGTGAATTTTCTGTTTTACAGTGCCAACATATATTCTATATATTTTTTTTTCCTGGTACCGGAAATCACTGAGCTACATCCCTGGTCCTTCTTTTTTGTTGTTTTTTTTTTTGGTTTTTTTTTTGAGACAGGGTCCCACTATGTAGTTCAAGTTGGCTTTGAACTCACTATGTAGCCCAGGCTGGCCTGGAATTTGTGGCAATCCTCCTGCCTCAGCCTCCCAAGTGCTGGGATTACAAGTGTGTGCCACCACACCTGGCTGCTTCTATAATTTTTAAAGCCTATTATTTGTTGTCTTTGGTTGATAAATGTAGATCTTTGTTTTTCACATTATAAATGTTTGTAACCTATAAAAGTTAACAGCCATTCATCTACAAATCCACTTGAAAAATAGAACATTTCTGAGGGCCGGGGATTTAGCCGCACCTGCCTGACAAGCACAAGATTCTGAGTTCAATCCCTGGTATGGGAAAAGAAAAAAAAAATAGAACATTTCTTAGCTTGTTTTGAAGCAATTTTTTAATTTCTGTACCAGTATGCAGTTTAAATATTTAAAGCGAGCGACCACTCATGAGATTTAAATTTGAGGCACTCGGTATTTCAGTATTTAGAACAGAAACAAATCTGGAGCTTTAGGGAATCTTATCTGTGTCTGTCCCCTGTCCTTGTGCCTCCTAGGGTCTCATAATGAGGGCTTTAATTCTGTGAGATAGGGTCTCACTGTGTAATTCATCTTGGCCTTGAACTCACCATGCATCCCTGGTTATCCTCAAACTCCACACAATCCTCCTGTGTCAGCCTCCTGAGTGCTGGGATTACAGGCATGAGCCACTACACCCAGCAAGACTTCTTTACTGAACTTAGTTTTGATGTTTTGTTCAAATTTTTTCATTTAACCACCTTTGTTCGAAGAGTTGAATTGATTCAGTTTTTACCATAGATAGTTGTAACAAGATTCTTTCCATTTGTCTCCACCCTTGCCAATCATTTCCTGTACAATAATAACTTTGTTGATTACTAAGTCAGTTCATTTAGCTCACCACTTCTCTTGAATGTGATTAATACTTTTTACTTTTTGGAAACTTACTAGTCTTCATAAACTACTCAACTCATTAAAATGATATGCTCGATATGATATTATCTAATAACATTTTCTCTTGAGAATTACTTCAATTACAGATGTTTGTAGAGATATTAATTCCTTGGCTTTTTCAGTGAAGTGAAAACTTACGATCCCTCCGGTGACTCAACACTTCCAACCTGTTCTAAAAAACGCAAAATAGAACATGTAGATAAAGAGGATGAAGTGATTGAAAAGAAAGCAAAAAAAGCCAAAATTAAAATTAAAGGTTAGTTTGAGTTTTTAAATACCATTTATACTCATAATGATACACCTGTATTTTACTACATGTGCCAAAACTCAGTTTCTACCATGTGAATTACTTCAAGAGTTAAAGGGGAAAAAAAATAAGTGGTATCGAAAATGGTTGCTAAAAAGCGCAAGGACCAGAGTTCAATCCCCAGTACCAAAAAAAAAAAGAAAAAGAAAAAAATAAAAAATAAATAAAATAAAATGGTTGCTAAAGATAGAATTGGCACAGCACTGTTTTCTTCACTGTTGTTAATAGAAGAGCACCGTGCTAGGCACTCCTCATTGGTATTCACCCTGTCCCTTAGGGAACTAGGCTGGCTATGAAGTGGAGAAGCTAGTGCCCCATTTATTGATTTCACCTGTGTTACATGATCACCTGCTAGTCTAGCAAGTAAACAAAGCACTGATAGCGAACCTTTAGGACCGGGTGCCCAAACTGCAACCCAAAGCCCACTTATTTATCATAAAGTGCCAACACTGCAGTTCTGACTGGCCCTGTGAAACCTTGGAGTTGCGCCTATTGTGTCTCTGCTTGTGATGTCATTGCCTGGCACTGCTGCTCCTTTCTGAGCATGTGCGTGGCCCCTGTGTATGGTGTTTTCAGTTGCTGGGGCACCTTAGCTCAGTGCTGACAGCAAGGGCTCTGTGTACCCACTGTGGCATAAGTGCCATAGATTCACCACCACTAGAATAAAGCATTGAAGCAGTGATTAATTAAATACCTCGTTGTCAATGTGGACTGACCTAGATAAAACATGAATGAGTTATTTAACTTCTGTTTCTTTACTGGAAAGTAAGAAGATCCCTATACCCATTACAGCTGTATGAAATGTTGAAGTAGGCCTGGGGATTTAGCTCAGTGGTTCCACCACCTGCCTCACAAGCACAAGGTCCTGAGTTTGATCCCTGGTACCAAAAAAAATACAAATAAATGAGATGTTGAAGTAAAGATTTTATCCTTAGTTGTACAGTATATCCAAAATTAATGTGACTGGATCATTGCCGTTCCTAACCACAGACCCACAGTTTTCTCTCTCCTTAGTGGCAATTCCTTTTGCTTTGGCTGTGAACCCAAATCTGTCCTTCTACTACATACTCTCATTTCCACTATGAAAGTTTGTAGTAGCCACAGTACCATTCCCACTGGCTGTCTGATCTCTGAATTTCTATTCTGTGTTGTCTCTCTTCAAATATTTGCCTGTTTACTGTTTTGTTTTGTTTTTAATTTATTAGGCAGTTAGGTTCTCATAACACTCCATATCTACCCCCTGCCCAAATCCTTGAGATCTTGCATTTCCTTTTCTCTCTTCTTGGAATGTTTCTCCCAAATATATGCCTCATTCGCTACTTTGCCTCTTGTCGGTATTTACTTGACTTCTAAAATGTCTGTAGGCAAATGCCCTTTTCCAACATTCCATTTCTTGATTTACTGTTATCTTTTTTTTCCCCTTTTGTTAACCTGGAATCGAACTTAGGACCTTGGCCTTTGAGGCAAACATGGCGCCACTGAGCTAAATCTCCAGTCCTGCTTTATTTTTATCCATAGCACTGATTACTATATATATCTCTTTACTGTACTAGTAAAATAAAATTCATAAGGATAGGGGTTTTAAAAACCAGTAACAGGGCCGGGGATTTAGCTCAGTGGTTTCGCCGCCTGCTACGCAAGCACAAGGACCAGAGTTCGATCCCCGGTACCAAAAAAAAAAAAAAAGTAACAGTCCAATGAAATAAACATCCTTAAATTTTATGGGTGATACTGAGTTTTACAGCCTCTAAATTAGTCATAAGCTGAATGTGTTGCCGCATGCCTGTAATCCCAGCACTCAGGAGGCTGAGACAGGAGGATCTCTGTGAGTCTGAGGCCAACCTGCACTACAAAGTGGGACCTTGTCTCAACAAACCAAAAATAAATAAATTAGTAATAGTAATAAATTACAGAGTCACAACAGTGGACTAAATCCAGGCCTTCTGACTCCAGAGTGTATTTTCTTAACTGTTAACAGTGGGCTTGATCCGAAGGTGACCTTTGTTTTAATCTGTTTACTAAGACCCTTGACTTAGGAACTCTAATCAAAGTCTGTTTTCTGTATATAGCAGAGTGCCAGGGATTTAGCACAGTGGCATCACACCTGCCTCACAAGCACAAGGTCCTGAGTTCAATAAAATAAATGAATAAATAAAATATATACAGGCAGATCTCAGTGTTCTAAGAGAGACATTGGCCCAGGATTTCTCAATTAACTCCCCACAGGAAAAGATGTTGTAATGTTCCTTCTAGAACTCTTTAAGGGTTAAATCTGTGTCTGAGACCATTAGGAATCACAAGCAGCCAGCATTCAGGTCTTAATTCTAACTTAAGATTTTGGTCTTAAGTTAAAACTAAAATTCCAGTCATACATAACCCAGGTTGTTCATATGTCAGGCTGGTCATAACTTAAGGGTCCACTGTAACTGCATGAGGAAATTACAGTTCCCCTCTGTGGACTTTGTCTGTATAATTTGTAGAGTTAGTGGTACTGCACAAGGTAGGCCTTGAAAGTCCTCCTTAATTATGAAATGAACACAACAAACACTGTATAGTTGAAAATCATAATTTTGGGGGGAACAAATTCTAACAGCGTGCCGTGTCTTTGTCCAGTTGAGGAGGAGGAGGAGGAGGAGGAGGAAGACGAAAAAGTGCTAGTGGTAGAAGAGGAGACATCTGTGAAGAAGAAAAAGAAAAAGGATAAAAAGAAACACATTAAGGAAGAACCAGTTTCTGAGGAAGAGCCATGCACCAGCACAGCAGTTCCTGTATGTCTGTTTTTAACTGCCAGTATTCTTGGCCTGGGCAAGGGCTCCAGAATCTGCTCTTGGTCAGAAATGAGCATGGGGCCGGGGATTTAGGGAGTGGTTCCAGCGCCTGCCTTGTAAGCGCAAGGTCTCAAGTTCGATCCCCTGGTACCAAAAATAAAAAAGAAATGAGCATGGGTTTTAATGAACAAGTTTCATTAATGGGGAATTAAAAACAACTTGGCCTTGTCTATTTCTATTATAAAAGGTCGTTTCCCAAAGTTAATAAACCCATCTCTCCCACCCTGCTGCTCCCACCCCCCAGAGTTTGCTTTTAAGGGAGGAAAAGGTTATGGGGGTTTTTTTTGGATAGTGTTGGGCCTCAAAACTGGGGCCTCACATTAGGTAAGTGCCCCACCCCTAGTCACCCTGCATCCCAGAGGCTCACTTTTATAGAAGTACTTGTATTTTTGGATTTTAATCATTCTTTTAAAATTGTTTTCAAGAAAAGTAGATTTTATATGAAAAAGTCATTACATACGCAATTACTGCTCATTCAAAAGTATTCTCACTGGTTATTTCCAGAGCCCGGAGAAAAAGAAGAAAAAGAAAAAAAAGAAAGACATGGAGGACTAACGGGAGGGAACTGCAGTTCTGTCTGCTGGACGTGCACTTAAGCACCAGAGCTGCTGGTGTGGGACCAGGGCAGGCTGGAGGGCACATCAGCTCTGGTAACCTTGTTATGTCTTCATTTCTTAGTCTTTGATATACAAATAAAACTATTTTCTTTGTATTGGAGTAGTTCTGTGGTATTTTACATTTTAGTAGAGAATCTTTGGTCTTTAAGTTGCCATCTGGTGGTTATTTTGGTCATTATAGCAGAACAGTGAGCTGTTAATGGTCAATGAGAAATTTAACCTTTTGGAAGACAGTGACTAGATGGGTTACTGTAATTTAAGAGCCTAACTGATGTGTTTCACTTGTGTTTTTTGGCTACTTTATTTCTCCTTTTTTCTGCCTCTATTTTTTTTTTCACATTCATTAAGTTTATTGGTACATTTTAGGTATACAATATGATGACATTCATTCTTGGGAATTTGTACCTTTACATGATGTATCTTGGTTCTTATTTTTCTGTATTTTCAAAAGGGTTTATTTTTCTGTATTTTCAAAAGGGTTTTGTTCCTTCAGATTTTAAAGCCAGGTATGCAAAACATTTTGATATAGGTTCAAAAGGAATAAAATGTATCTGTTAAGTTGTTTATTCTGAAAGATGTAAAAAAATGATTCCTGACTTTCATTCATTCTTCTTTTTCTTTTGAGAAAGGGTCTCTGTATAGTCCAAGCTGGTCTTGAACTCACTGTGAAGGCCAGGCTGGCTTCAAACTCAGGACAATTCTCCTGCCTCAGCCTCCTGAGTTCTAGGATACAGGTGTGCACCACCATTCCTGGCTCATTCATTTTTGAGGCAGGGTCTTTCTGTGTGATTCACTGGCCTTGAGTTTACTATGTAGCCCAAACTGACCATGAACTGGCAGTAATTCTGCCTCAGCCTCTCAAGTGATGTGATCACATGCATGTGCCACCACATCCGGCTTGATTATTTCAGGGGTTGGGGTCAGGTGCTTGGGTAGCACGCAGAAGGTCCTGGGTTTAGTTTCCAGCTCCGCATTACACACAAAAAAGTACTAAGCCTTCATTTACCCTCCTCCCTCCCTTCAAACATAATGTAAATTTGTTTTGTGGATTAGATTCTGTATCTATCTATTGCTTTCTTGCTCCTCAGCAGACTTCAAAGGACTTGATTGAACTGTCCCCCTCCAGTCTCAGAAGTTTACAGTTCTCCATCTTTACAGCTCAGGCTCCTTTATCCTGAGTGTACCGCTTAGAATAACACACCGCAGAGCCAAGTGTGCATGAGAATCGTCGAGGAATTTTTTTTAAATTTTTAAACAGGGTCTTGCTCTGCAGTTCAGGGTGACCTCGAACTTGTGGCATTGCTCCTACCTCAGCCTCCTAGGTGCTGGGATTACAAGTATGCACCATCACACTCAGCTTCATCTAGGAATCTTTATACTTGTAAAATGCTGTTCTGAGTCAGCTGCAGATTGGGGCCCATAATTCAGCATTTTTAGCAAGTTCTCAGTGTTGTGAAAGTAAATTATTTAAACTCAATTAACTGTTTCCTTATTTGAAAATGTATTGCTTTGAAGTTGCATGTGGAGGTTGCATGTGATCCCAGCACTTGGGAGGCTGAGGCAGGCGGATCGCTGTGAGTTCGAAGCCATCCTGACTGCAGAGTGAGACCTTTATGTGTACCTTAGCATCTTCGTGCCCCAGATGTAGTCTGTTCACCTTACCTGTCACTAATGGTTCCTGGCCTAAAATAGGGCCTGAGTGTTCAGTGATGAATGTACACCCTGTCCAGTTACTCAGATTTGGATTACTCTGATCAAAGAGTGTCACTCTGATTTCTCATTACAAGTGCTATGAGAACACCATGAACTCAAAGATTGGACATAGGAGAGCCAGAGTTTAACCCAAGATATCTGGACCCTGAACTTTATAGCTCCCTTGTCCTGCCCATTAACTGAACTCTATCACTTGTTGACCATTTTTTAATTATAGCTTTGTAGGTGCTTGTTTTCCTTTTTTTTGTTTTTAAAGCAAGTGTCAAATGGTAATTCTAAAGTATTTCAGAGTGAGTGCTTGGTTAAGTTTTAAGGAGAAATTAGAAGTACATTTGTGGAATGGTGGTTCTCAAAACTTCAGTCTGGATTAGAAACACATGGAGGACTTTCTTTTTCTTTTCGTGTTGAGGATTGAACCTAGGACCTCATGTATGCCAAGCCATGTGCTCTTCCACTGACTTATAGCTCCTTCCCTGGAGGACCTCCTGGAGTGGAGAAAGGTGAGTTTCTGATATAGTAGGTCTTGGGTAGGGTCCAGAAATTTGCATTTCTGACATTCCCAGTTGGTGATTAGGGGACAGAATCTTACCCACTATTCTAAAGGATTCCCTTCTGTTGTCCTACATGGCCCTGCAATTCTCCAAACTGGAGCTTAATTTGACGGCCAGGAAGTCAGACTTGTGCATTTTGGTTAAGAAGCAGCAGTACCATCATTCGTCTTCTCTGCTGTTTCATTATAGAGAACTGCTGGGCCGGGGATTTAGCTCAGTGGTTCTGCCGCCTGCCTCGAAAGCACAAGGTCCTGAGTTCGTTCCCCGGTACCAAAAAAAAAAAAATCTTCCATTGGCTAATGTTATAATGCCCTAAGGTGAATAAAATACAGTATTCTATAGGGAACTGCTGAGTCCTTTGGGGGCTGGAGAAAGTTGAGCCTGTGCTCTTCCTGCTCAGATTACATAAGTTTGAAAATGTTTCCTGTCTATATAGGAATTTGCAGCCAGGTGTAGTGTCCCATATCTGCAATCACAGGTCCTGGGCAGTGTAACAGCTTAGTGAAAGCCTGTCCCAAAAAGTACTAAGGCCTGGGCTCAGGTTCCATCTCCAGTATTGAACTTTTTTTTTTTTTTTTAAAGGACAAATTCAGTTGTTCCATTGTATTTAGTATAAAAGGAAGAAAACTCAGTTTTTTGTTTTTGTTCTTTTGTATTTTGGTTTTTTGAGACAGAATCTTGCTATATAGTTCAGACTGGCCCTCAACTCACCGTGTAGCCCTCACTGGCCTCAAACTTGTTTCGATCCTCCTGCCTCAGCATCCCAAGTGCTGGGATTACAGGCATGTACCCCCATGCCCAACTTGACACTACTTTATATTTACATCCCCTCTAACACGCTAATTCTCCATCTAGAAAACTATCCTGCTCATTTGAAGTGCTAGGGATGGGACCCAGTGCTGTCTTTTTAATTAGTATATCCCAACTTCACACATTTTTGCACAGTGTAATCTTAAAAATACTGATTTGGCTTTAGTCATTTTACACCTGGATAATTTTCCTTGTATAGTTTTTGTTTGCTTTTATTGCGACAGGTGTCGCTGTACAGTTCAGGCTGGCCTCAAACTTGTGGCAGTCCTCCTGCCTCATCCTCCTGAGTACAGGGACTATAGGCAGGTACCACCACGTCCTGCCCTCGTACAGCTCTGTAGTCCCAAGATACACAAGATTCCACTTTGTCAGTGCAACTCTGAAATCCTGCTGAAGATTATATGCAGTCTTTTACTGTAGTGCTCCTACCCAGTAGAGGGCATTTGTGAATAGAAGAAGGTAGCCCTTCATATTTTATTTCTGTAAAGTATCAGAAAATCATTAGAACCCTAAATCTACAATAAGTAGGAAGTGTCCCCTCTTCCCCTCCCACTTGTACATCGGGCACCTTGCATAAAAGGTGTGGGATGTGATTGAGACTGGTGATCTGCCTGCTTTGTTTGGTTTTGTAGTACTAGGGATTGAACTCAGGGCCTCTGCACTGAGCTACATCCCTGGCTCGCCCCACCCCGCACCTTTTTATTTTCTTAGAGCCAGCAACTTGCTAAATTGGCTAGGCTGAACTAAAACTTGGGAACCTTCTCCTTTCAGCCCCTCTGAAAACATTTTCCTAACCGTGAGTTTGCTTGGTACTCCTCAGAGACAGGTTGTAGCCAGTCCCAAGGCTGGCACTCTGAGCCCTGGTTTAAACCAAACCATTAAACCCATCAGGCCTCCAAATAATAGCTTTGGAAGTGGCAGCCAAGAACTCCTGGCCAAACTCTGGTATAAGCCAAGAGTAGGACATCCATATGCATACAAAGACCTATGCTGCAGCGCAAAATGCAGCCTTTGAAGTTGGAAGATGACCTGTTAGTAGTACTGCTTTGAGTGCATTCCTTATAGAAGTAACTAAAGGTGAACAAATGCTCTTAAATCCTACTAGCCCAGACTACTCAAATGTCAGAACACTTCAGAGCTATGACTGTACATGAGGCAAAGGAGAATGATATATTCAAAACTTTGATCTGCTCAGTGCTCGTGGAGGGAAGAGGGAATCTCCTGCAGAAAAGATCACCTGGTACAGCTGTCACTGCAGATGAAAATTCGGCCCTCCAGCCTTTGCCACATGTCCCCTGAGTGCTGGCCTATTCCAGGCTGTAGGCATGCCCTTTTCTCTTAGCAATGTGGAGAAAAGAGTTCCTTCTATAAAAGTTTGTATACATTTAATCCAACTTTCGGATTCATCTACCAGATCATAGGAAGCAATCTAATCAGAACATTTAAAATGGGAGGACACAATTTCACTGGGATTACTTCTAAGGAATCGTTTTGAGAACTGGGATCTACTGATTTTATTATATTATCTAATGTTAGTCTATGAATTGCTTAGATATAAACTAATTTTTTTAAATGCGTTGAAAAAGTGGTGAGAAGGGGCTGTTCTATATTAGGGGTGGGCAAAATACACCCTGAGGTCCAAATCTAGCCCACAGCCAGCTTTGAAAGCAAGGTTTTCTTAGAACACAGTTATGCCCATTCATTTGAGTACAGTAAGTCCCCAAATTAGGAACAAGTTCCCTTCCAGGAGAATGTTCATAAGTCACATTCATTTGTAAGTCTGACAAAGTGAGTCTTAAAACTTTCTTTTCGTTTTTGGTACCAGCAATTGAACTCAGGACCTTGTGCTTGTGAGGCACACACAGTGCCCTACCATGATACATTTGACACAAATACACAATGCTTTGCACTTCCTAGCAGTCCCTTCCACATCACCACTGCTTTTCCTCTTGCTTCTAGACGTCCTTGTCTCTGACTGACCACTGTACAGTAAGTGAACCGTAGCACAACTAATAATGTCC